ACAGCTCACTAGACATGCTTATTACTTGCATTTTGGTATATGCCTACTGATATAGCAGCATCTACTTGGGAACGAGAAGCTACAGAGGTCATGGCTTGCTGGGACTCTACTAATTGGTTACGTTACTGCTCTTTTCCCACCTCCTCCTGCAACCCAATCATTCTGCTTATGCTGGAAGAAATTCAATGATTTGCGTAATATGCACAACTTCAAAGTTTGAGCTGTATTTAAAAGGTAATGATTCTTGCTAAATGACATCTAGTATATGATAACAAAACAATACAACAAAAGTTGAACCATGATGATTAGAAACACGCAGATTTATTATTGCCTACAGCTATGAAATATGAGTGATGACTGAGTGATCGCTATTAGTAGTATAATGCAGAAAATTAGCATTGCCATATGCTTCACATCTGAACAGATTGAAAAAGTGGACAGATCATATGACCTTAGAAGTAAGTTATTAGTACATATTTAGTGGATAGATACTATTATTTATTTATGAGACACTAGCATGTATTGTCTCACTACAACTGCCTATGTTAACAGTTTACAATAAGCCTCATTTGTGCATTAAACATAATGCATTATATTGAGCAATGTATTTTTACAGCATTTATTACGTTGATTTAAAAAGTTGTTACATTTTGCAATTAACATTTATTAAATGCTGTAGAAGTACTGTTCATGTTAGTTTATGTCACCTAATATGATATTATTGTAAAATGTTACCTTTATTTCAACTTGTCATACACATGGACTAGTCAGAATGGCTACTTGATGGTTTATTACTACTTTCGAATAAGATTAATAACACAATCTAACAAATGGAATAGATACGAGCAACCATCCAAAAAGTAACTAAGAAATACATAAGGAATAGTAACTAGTATGACTACAATGAATAGTAACTAGTAAAGGTGGAATTGGTGTTAACAGCTATTGGTTACTAGTCAAAAGTGAATCGTTAATAGCTGAATCACAGATCTCTATAGATTTCAATTAAAAAAAAACGTAATTTGTTACCAGTAACAATGAAGTAGTTGCTTGTCACTATCAATAGTAGATTGATACATAAATACATACTGGTGGTGACTAACTTTAATTACTAGTAGTAATCAATAGCTACTAAAGAAACGGAGATGCTTAAAGAACACATGCTAAATCGACTTGTCACAACTCTGGAACAACTTTTATTCACAGCGCAGCAAACCAAACAAGATTTTTGTGACTCTGATACGAGAATACAAGAGAAAGCTGCTTACCCAGGTGAAGGGTCAGGTTGATGGAGTTTGGGTACTGGATGCCCGCTAACATAGTCTGACTTTGCCACCAGGTGGTATCCGCTTGGTTGTTGTAATCGGTGAGATAAACAGCGCCGTGGTGGTGTCTGGGGTCTCCGGCGTCGCAAATGTGGCATGATTTTGTGACTCCCGTTACCCCGGTCTGTACACAGTATTCTTCAGGCGGCGAGCCGCAAGTGTTGGTGGCCACTACGGTTACATTGAAAGCGGCGTTAACAAACTCTGGCATGCAGCGCTGAGGCCGATTGAACTCGTCTATACATTCATCCATCGCTCCGTGACTGCACGCTGCCCACAAAGTCCATAATAACAAACAGCTAAAAAGCGGCATTGTGTCCTTTTGTTTATGCGACCTCAAGTAGCTACCGTCACTGTCGTGATCCCTTAAACCTCGCAGTCTTTAAAAAGTTTGCAGTAACTCGCCAGCTACCGAGTTTGTGGTTTTGTAAATAAACTCATGCGGAAAATGGTGGTAATCGCTTCACCTCCAAAAAGCGATAGTTGTGGCTTAATCTCCTCGCGACTTCTCTCTTGCAAACCTTCACTTTATTACTGCTTTGTAACCACAGCCATGGGGAAAAAAAACTTTTGGAGAAAAGGAACTATATCCGACTACACCCTGGCAGCTAGTGCGCAAGTCAAAGTACTTAAAAAAAAAAAAAATCCCTACGTCTACTTCCGCCTGAAGGATGCTTTGATGGGCCGCCGACCCGCTAAACAAGGCAAGTCCAAATGGACAGGGATGCATGAGTTGGGCGTGGCGAAATGGGTATGGTGGAATGGGCGTGGCTTTGCACTTTCCCAATTGGTCAGTTTCCCAGTCAACTCCAGGAGTGGGTGGGGCCGGAATTTCATACCTCACAGATTCTCAACGGAGCGATGAACTGACCACTAACTATCCGTAAATAGATAAACAAATGTGTTAAACCATGGCTTGATTCGCCATCAGAAAATCCCAGAAAAATTCTCTCTTTCAAATAGCTGTCCATATGCAGGCAGGCAGTTAAGTACTTAAAGTTTTATTCATTTAAAAACTTTCTTTTATCTTTTATACTGTGGTATCTTCAAAGAGACATACTTTCTGGATGAATAACTAGGGGATGATAGCTGTTGCTTGCTGTGAGCAGTGGGGTCAAAGAGCAAGGTTATTTAAACCTACTCTACCAGGCAAGGGTGTATCCGAAAACTTTAAATAGCTGAGTGTTACGTTTTGTGGGCTGTTTATTAATATTTTACCAGCATTGTTTCTAAGATGAATAGAGAATCATCTAAACGTTTGTGCCACACTTAAGTGTGTTATATCTTACCTCAAAATTTTCAACTTTTAGTTTTTTATGCAGCTAGAATATTCAAAGCCTTCATAGAACTAACTAGTAATAAAAAATAACCACAGTTAAGATTGCAATTCTGGCTATTTGTTTTCCTTTTTTTAAATTCCAAAACCATGCGTGTTATATATTACCTCAAAATCTACCTTATCACCCCCAAAAAAAGGATCCACTGTAGGCAAATTCAAAGTCTTCACAGAACTAACTAGTAATAAAATAAATAAAAATCAAAAAGTAACAATTAGTAATAGTAATACCAATACATAAACAAATTCAAAATAATAAATAGTAGCCTAATAAAAATAATAACTTGTAATAAAAATATAGGACTGGCAATTTTTTTCTTTCTTTCTCCAATTCATAGCTATCGTAATGAACTGTCTTTTCTTTTGCATTGGATATTCACAAATAAAGTTTGCCCAGTGGATTGATTGGAAAGTGAGAGCTGGAGTACTGAATGATCTGAAAATGTGTGTGCTATTGATAAGAACTATAGCAGATACTGTATCTGATACTACTCTATGTGAGTCCAGTGAGTGTCTCAGATTGGCAGCGAGCATCATCAGATCTAGTCTTCAGACGCATTCCTTTAGATAACGCTATAACGATTTAATCAAACTGTGGTCAAAGAACAAAACTTTGGTGTTTAACAAGACAATCAATCATCACCAACCATGGAGATAAATTGGTTTAATAGCTCTCTAAATAGGATAGAATTGCTCTGTTGGAAAGAAATTGGTTTAAATTTCCCTTCACAAAAATGACATTACGGCCTATTTAAAATGCTAAAAAGCAAAGATATGCTTATACATTTTTGAGCTAAGAATCTTGACATCTAGCAATAATATAAAACCTCTGACCTTGCAATCAAGTCAGCTCTGCACTAGACTTCTGTCTATCCATCAATTGCCTAGTCTTACTACATCTAGGACAGGGGAAATGAGGGCTAGATTTATCCCTATATGTCAAAAAGAGTGTCAACACTTTGTCAAATACTAATTTCGCCCCCCCCCCGTACCACTGCATCAAGCTCAGGCATGTCCAGGATGTGCATTGTCTCACTGCTACCTTCAAACTTTAAACACATTCATCAGCAATTGTTCTCTAAAGACACAAGAGGCAGCCTATGTACTCTCTCATCTTACCCAGAGGCTACGACTATATTCTTCTCAGAGATATTTCACACATTCTCTGGAATTTTGCTGTGGTGTCAGATTTGCTTTTTTGAGTAAATCAGATGAGTAATGATTTATATAAAAATGTTAAAGTAACAAGTCAAGGAGTTATGGAGTTTAAGTGTGTACAGAATTTGTGGTTATATTTGCAATTACACGCTGAAACACAATTATATTTGTGTAGATTAGTCAATTCATACAAAAAAACATACAAAACAAAGCAATTAAATACTTTTTAAATAATGAATGGTAGCATCCATAGATAGAATCAGATATAGATATAAACCAATCAGATATAAACATACTCTGCTGCGGGTTTAAAGCGCCCTCTATCGGTAATCATTAGCAAAGAATCACGATAAGCGCCAGATATGAATTAATCATCTAAATTAATTATATTTGTAGTTTAAGTATATATCTAATATATATCATAAATAAAATATTTTGCCAGCGGTTTATTTATGCACCAAACACAATTACATAAAACTAAAGGTAAATCTAAAGGCTTAAATCCTGCTATTATTTAATTATACATATTAATTGATGGTTTCACAACACTTTTTTGTTTTTAACATTTATGAAAATGTTTAGTTGAGCAATGGATTTTTTGGTAATCAATGATACATTCAGTAGCCAAAATAATAATTGACACTAACTCGTATATCATTATATCACACGTTTCGAAACGGAATGTACAAGGATTAAAAAAAAAAGAAAAAAAAAAAAAAGATAAAATTGATTTACACTTTTCAAAAGACATGTCAACACACTTCAGCTCTTAGTGTTCCAAAACTCTTGTGTGTACACAGTTTTATAGACACACTTCTTCAGCTGCAAAAATGTCACTTGGTATTTTGTGGTCTCTGGAAAGACACTGGATTCTGAAAAACTGAAATAGTGTATAAAGCACAATATTGAGGCATTTATCAGCCAGCAATCCATTATTATTATTGACTGCACACGTTATATTTCACATACATTTCTCAAAATGCATATATTTAAACTATGAGTTGTTTGTTTTAGGGCACAAAATGTTACTCAATCTGGACAGAAAAAAAGTTGGCTGGAGTTACACATTGCTGCAAAACCACACATCTGGAAACTGAGTATTTGATTCCCACCAGTGACTTCATTTCTTAGTCAGTGAACTCATTTCTTAAGAGGGCATGAGAGAGATCAAGACTAAAATGATAAAAAAGAAATTATTTTATTAGAATACAACACAACATGTATTTGCCATCCATTATTGGTCACGAATAGTTATTTTTAATAACTGTTATTAACTGACAGTCATGGTTTCAATTTATTCATGCTTTTTTACATAAAAAGAGGAAAGATTGAATAACAAAAAGCAACAACAAAACTCAAACATTATTTTAAATCTTCCCAAAGACATCCTTGTTCAGATGTTCAGTTTTAATAACCACCCCTGTTTCCCCCCCAGCCTCCTCTGAATCCCCTCCCTCCATTTCCTTCTCCTCCACCTCCTCTGTATCCACCAGACCCTCTGAATCCACCCCCACCAGACCCCCTGAAGCCACCTCTATCAGACCCCCTGTACCCACCCCCGCCGCCACGATACCCTCCAGACCCCCTGAAGCCACCTCCACCACCCTGGTATCCTCCGCCTCCTCTATATCCTCCACCAGACCAGGATCCACCACCACCGCCGCCTCTGTATCCTCCTCCTCCACGGCCCCTAAACTCTCCACCCCCTCCAAAGTCAGTACGGGGCATCTTGGGTGGACGTGGACCATCTCCAAAGCTGTAAATAACAAAGATAAAAGGGTGTTAAAATAACACAATTAACTAACATCTCATTTTCAAAATAGTTTAGTTATAAGCAACCTTTATCCTAAACAAACCAATTAAATGTATGGGTTCAATGATCTCACCGTGGGTTGGAGACCATGAGGTTGATGCCAGCTGACGAGGGTCTGGACACAAGCCGAATGACGTTCAGCAAGCGCTCATTGGTGGGATCCAAATTTCGGATGTATTCTGGGTCTTTGGTCACCTCCACCACCAGGGCTTCCATCGCTGCCCTCAGGGCCGCCACACCACCGGCTATATCATGGGGAATCTTCAATTTGATCCTACAGAAGGAAGGAATATTCTTGATGATCACTGGAACACTTCTCTTGTTGACTTCCTTGAAAATATTTGGTTTGCTCTCAGGATTCCTGACTCAAGAATTCTGGAGAACTTATTTTTTGTTGTTTATTGTTCAATACACACCAGTCATCAAGCTCAACAACTTCTCCACTGGAGGTGACCTTCTTTGTGCCGAACAGAATAAGCTGAAGAGGACTGACAAGAGTCATTCCTTTGGCAGAAATGGCTCGAGTTCGGATCTGTTATTACAAAAGACATAAATTATATTTGTATACTCCTAAAAGCTGACAAAAACTAACTTTTAGCAGATATACACTACCATTCAAAAGTATGGGGTTAGAAAGATTTTTTTTCAATATTTTTTGAAAGAAATTAATACTTTAATTCACCAAGGACGCATTCAAATTGATCACAAGTCACAGGAATAAATAACAAATAGAAAAAAAAAAAGTTTTTCATTTTAATATTTTCAAAATGTAACTCGTTCCTGTGATGCAAAGCAGAATTTTCAGCAGCCATTACTCCAGTCTTCAGCATCACATGATCCTTCAGAAATCATTCTAATATGCTGATGTGGTACTTAAGAAATATTTCTTATTATCATCAGAGTTGAAAACAGTTGTGCTCCTTTATATTACAATAAAAAAAGCCTACTGCCACTTTTGATCAATTTAATTGGTCAATGCTGAATGAAAGTACTGAAAATCACCAAACTTGGAGATTGTGGTGTACACATTTAAAATGCACAGTATTTCTCTTTGTCTTGCACTACACATTCCAATTAAATATTTTAAATTAACTATATATATTGGATCGGACTGGATTCTAACATTTGATTGGATTCTAATATTAGAATAAGAATGTCCAATATTATGGGCAACTAAGTAAAAAATCATGGTTCGTGGCTGTGATGTAACTTAAGTCTTTATTAAGTCTAAAAGTAGAAACTGCAAAAATAGCAGTTTAAAGCTAGACTTTCAAACCAACCTTTTCCCCAAAGACGAAAAAGGGAGATGGATACACCATATCATGGTTGCTGAAAGGACAGTTGACTGAGGACTTGTGAATGAGAGCATTTCGCCCCTCTGTGGTCAGGATCTTCCTTTTCTCTTTGTGGTAACACACATTGGGGTAAGAGCCAAACGTCAGCAGAGAGATCACCACATCCAAGTTATTGTCTGGTCCCACAGTGTTAAACATCTGATTCAGGAGGCACTCTACAAGAAAGGGAAACGACAAAAAATTACTTTAAAATCTTCAAATAACATCTGAGGACTGAAATAAACTGTAGAACTACATGTAAGTGCATTTAGAAGCACGGCTTAACCTTCAGGGAAGCCGACGTTGACAAGGATCTCTTTCAGCTGGACCTTGGCCTCCCAGGTCATTCGCAAAGTGGGCATGTTCAGCCTCTTGTGCTCACAAAACCGGATCTCTGCATCCTCACCTCCCATCCTGAAAAATTAAAATCTACTTATATTGCGAAACCCTCAAGAGATCAAAATGTTAAATGTTTTAAAAAAAATAAAAAATATACAAAGTCTCTCAATTTAATACGATGGCATTTGGACCCACCGGACTTCATCCCAGGCCTGGAAGACAGAGAGTAAGGCCACGTGATCTGAGAAACGTGAGCCTGCAAAGTTCCTATGAACAAAACCGAGGCGTTTGCCTTCGTTGATAAAGGGCTCGGGGAAACAGGTCGCTGCTGAGATAGTGCACACGGCATCTCCAACACTAAACACAAACACATACACATACACAAGTACAAGTAAATTCAACAGCTAATTTTGGGAAAAATAGCAATGACCTGTATGTTCTTGACAGCTTTGTGAGATGCACTCAATTCATAAACAGCCAATGTTGGATGAATAAACTTACTTAAAGATGCATCCCATGATCATCATCTTTCCCAGACGTGGTTCGATGGGCAGTTTGGCCAGAATGCGTCCCAGTGGAGTCAGCTCATCATTACAGTCTAGAGCATCCAGCTCTAGAGAGCAACAGAGGCTTGTTTGATTTTGTTCACTTCAACATCCTTAATATTAAGACATGTAACACAAAATCTGTACCTCTCAGTGTATGTTCAGCTTCAATAACGGCATCCAACGGAGGCGGCTCAATGGCTTTGGACAAGAAATTCCCGATGGGACCCAGTCTCAGTAGCTTAATGCTGAGGGCCACCTCATGCAGTGGTGTGCGGAAGATTTCAGGAGTCATATGGGTCTCCAGTCTGCATAACAATCATTAACATTTCAGATAATGTGATTTTGTTTGAGGTTTTGGTACAACTGAAGAATGACATTTCGTACTTTTCAAAACGAGCTCTGCTGCAGAGGTAAAAGCAGAAGCCTGGTTTGACTCTGCCAGCTCGTCCCTTCCTCTGCTCAAGGTTGGTCTTGGAGGCCCACACTGTGGCATAGTTTGTCATGTTGTTGTGAGAAGTGAACAACTTCACTTTCTGCCTGAATGACATATTTGGTATTTGTGGACAAAACAGAGTATATAGAGAAGAGAAATGTACATCAAAGAGATAGTTTCTTCCATAATGACAATTAATTTACTGACCCTAACGTCATTCCAAACCTGTATGACTTTGTGTTTAGCGTTACACAAAAGATGATAATGATGGTAGCCAAACAGCTGGTTACTATTAACTTCCATTGAATGGACAAAAAAATGATAATTTTTTTGTGTTTTACAAAAGAAAGTCATGCAGGCTTGGAAGGACATGAATAAAATAGAGAATTGTAAGATTTGGGTGAATCATCTCTAATAAATGGAGCTGCTTACTTGCAGGAGTCTAAGACAAAGACCACATCATTGATGGTAATGCTGGTCTCAGCGATGTTGGTGGACAAAATGACCTGTGGTGTGTTTGCAAAATTTGTTTAAAATTAAAACGTTTTAATATATCAATTCCTAAATTGCACAGTGAAATGTCTCCAGACCTTTGTCACACCCTCAGGAGTGGGCTCAAACACTCGTCTCTGTTCTTCCCTGGGGATCTGAGAGTGAAGCGGCAGGATTCGGTATCGATGACCACCTTTGAGGGACACAATATTAGAGGAATCACTAGGAGTTATATTAAGAGATCAGGAGATACAAGTCACAATATCTGGAGAAAAAATTTTGTTTGAGTGTGAGCAGAATATCATTACAGACCGAAGTGAGGGTTCATCTCCAGGTGTTTCTGCATGGAATAGATGAGGTTCCAGCCTGGAAGGAAGACTAGCACAGCCCCTGGTACTTCTAGCGTTTCAATGTACTTCAGCAAAGCCTCGATCAGCTCGAACGGAGTTTCCTTCTCATTCAACTGAGACATGGCACGCTTGGTTTCAGGAGTATACTCAGATCCACAGATGACATTACAGTTCACCTGTAGAACACAGAAATACACATGTCAAGCATTAATTTATGTACATTTAAGTAAACTATTATGAACTATCATCTGATCAGTGCTGTGGAGTAAAGTTTAGTTAGTTAAATGCAGCTCTTCTTCAACTATGTTTTCAAGGTATGAAAGGGTATGTTTAATTTCCAGTGGATATACCATTAAAAAATTTGAGGCTGGTAATATTATTATTTATTTATTTTTTTTAAAGAAGTTTCTTAAGCTAACCAAGGCTACATTTCAGAAAAAATTAAGCAAACTAGTAGTATTCTGAAATACTACTACAATTTGAAACAACCGTTTTAATTTATTTTTTAAATGTGATTTATCTCTGCGAGAGCTGAATTTTCATCAGCCATTATATTTTTATGGAAACATGATACTTTTTTATAACAGTATTATAACAGTATTTATGAAGAAAATTCTAATTGATTTATAATTAAATAAACAAATAAATATAAATATATATATAAAAGTTTATTTGCAAAAACAGAGATTTTTTGTAAAATTTTTTTTTAATGTTTTTATTGTGTTTTATTGTGTTAGCTGTATTTTTTTTGTTATTTTTACTTGATCAAAATAACCCAACTGCAATTTGATTGACATTAATTGGAATGCACAATGAAAAAAACATGATTTTTGAAAATTGTTAAAAACGGAGTTATGTTTTTGCAAATGAATTCTTTATATGTATATACATAAACACACACACACACACATATACATATACACACACACATACTTGCATATATTTAATCTCTTTATTTTTAAAATGTGTATAGGTAGTATTCATAAAGTTTTAGCTTTTAGTTTTGGATCTGAGATTAAAAGAAGTGTACTTTTATTCAGCAAGGACATATTAAATTGATCAAAAGTGACAGTTGTGTGTGTGTGTGTGTGTGTGACAATGTACAAGTCCTTATTGTCACTTTTGATCAATTTAATGTTTCCTTGCTGAATTAATACCTTAAAATGGATAATTTCCAGATAATATTTTAACTTTAATCAATGACAGTATAAAAGCCATTTAAATTATTTTTTACAGCACTTCAAGTTAAGCCATTCTTAGAAAAGAAAAAGATTCAAATATTTTTTTCTATAGGTCTATCATAATGCGTGCGGTAGAGGGTTAAATATGTGAAACATTTATACCTTATATTTTTCTCAGATGGTATAGTACTTTTTTTGCACCTAATTTAATAAAAAAACAAAAAAAACAAACATACATCTTCCTCTCCACCATCTTCATCTTTATCTTTTTTCTTCCGGTCCATTGGTGGTGGTACGAACTGAGTCATCTGAATGCAGTCTTCTAAGAAATACTCTGGAGATATCAAAACATAAATAATAATCCGTCAGGTTTTACAGTCAAGACATTCCAAATTAATGCTCTAACATTGGGCAATGGGTTTCCAAACATCCATAGGAGTATTTCATCCAGTGTGTGAGATGATGTAAACATTAAATCATTAAAATATCATTACAAAACAGTGCATTGTGAAAACATGCTTCTCACCTTGTACAGGATGTGCACGTCCATGCACCTCGATGATAGGACAGTTAAAAAAGTACTCCCTAAACATGGTTGTGTCAATGGTGGCAGACATGAGGATGATGCGCACATCAGGGTAAGCCCGGACCACATCTCTCAACACTACCAACAGGAAATCAGACTGGACAGAAAAACATACTTGTGAATAGGGTGAGACATTGCACCTCTCTAAACACATTTTTTGAAATGTTAACATACTGTATATGTACAGGTTGCACAACAGTGAAAACAATAATAGCACTCATTATGTCTATTGTTAAGGGAAATGTGGTTATTTTTTCAGTTTTTGGAGCAATTTCGTTCTTCCGGTTCAAAAAGCAAAGTTGAGCCTACGTCACGAAAAGTGACGTATATGTATTAATTTGGAGTGGTGATTGGCTGCCGTGGTTGGAGTACGCCTCTACGTCATCAGCTTTCTGAGCTTTTCTCAGTATTATTCATGAGAATTAACTCTTATGGTCCAATCACTGCACTGTATTATGAATGAGATCGTCTTACAGCAGAAAATTCAAATCTCATAAAAGAGCTTTGCGCTGTCAGTTCATTTCTGTAAACATAACCGTAACAATATTTAATACGCAACAATATGTAGAGCACGTATGAGAGAATGGTTTCTGCACGGAATGCCGAGATGAGTTTAACAACATCATAGTTCATATCCAGACCGGAGCAAACGTGTTTCAAGTTTATGTGAACATATTTCATATTCTCTCGTGCTCCGAATATATGTATGCACACATATCATGTCTTCTTCGAATAAAAGATGCACAAATAATGGCACTGATACAGCGGTTCATCTGATCATGAACGCGATGACACGACGGATTATTGTGGTACACAGCAAACAAAGATATTGACCGAAAATTCAAAGAAGAGTGAACAAAAAGTAACTATGTCTTTATTCTTTCTGTTTTAAACTGATGCGTGTCATTTGTACTGAGACTGTAGTGCTGGTAAACGTGAAAATATTATACAATTTTTCATATCCAATATCTCTGCTTATTTATTTCAAATAATAATTTATCAAAACATATTGGATTTGTTCATGATAGTTGTTAAGTCTCTAATGACAGGATTTATTGACAGTTATTTATCATTATTTTTAAAATATATCAAGATGGCCCCTATCTCTGTTGTTGTTTGTATTTTCTTTCATTCTCTGCTCATTTTTATATTAATTTGTCTCTATAATGAGTGTGTTGTAGGTCTGTGTTTTATTGGTTGTTTTCTAGGGCTGCCCTCGACTAAAGATTTTTCTGGTCGACTAGTAGTTGTTCATTTTAAGCATTAGTCGACTAATCGCACGTTTATTAATAAACCATTTAAATCATTATAATGAGCCTTTAATTACCTACATTGCCTAATAAGCGCTCAAGCACACACAAAGCTTGGAGTGCACACAAATAAATGTAGTCTTTACAGATTTGAAATGTGTATTACTCTTATCTGTATGACCAAAAATGGGGGAGTATTTTAAGAGCAAGTGGCCGCACTGGCGCCTCCATCTCATGCTGTGAGCGCTACAGCTTCCACACTCTGCAGACACTTGAATAGCGCACATTTCTCTGGGTTAACATTAGATTAAGCGGCCATGTAAAGTTACTAATACTTACATCTTTCAGATGATAAGCCATATTTGAGGTCGATGAATGATAGGCGAGCGCTTGGATGTCCTGCCCGATGTACTGTATTAGACTAGCTGTTAACGATCTGTCCGTCACGAACTGCATGACTTTGCATGTGTTTTTTTCTTTCTGCGACTAATAACATTTTGGTCGACCAAGCCTCTCTTCTGGTCGACTAAAGATTAGTCGACTATTAGGGGGCAGCCCTATTTTTTTCTCCCCTCTTCCCACCCTCTACACGCCCATTTCTTGACTCTTTTTCAAATCTGAGGCGTGAACAACCAGTGCTAAAACAGGGGGGTTTCATGACACTTTAAAGCTGATATGGTAACATTGGACTTACATTTAAGTCCCTCTCATGGATTTCATCCACAATCACATGACTGATGCCACGGACACCAGCTTCCAGCTTCCTCAGCAACACCCCTGTGAATAAGACATTTTTAGTTCTATTACCCAACCCTGTGCAATGTGCCACAGTCCGAGATTAAGAAATTAACGTACCAACTGTGCAGAAGAGGATGCTGGCATGAGGTCTGGGCAGGACAGACTCAAAACGCACACTGTAGCCACAACTTTTCCCCACCTCCTCTCCTCTCTCGAATGATACACGTTCAGACACTGACACAGCACTGATCCGTCTTGGCTAAGAGGATAAACGGCAGCAGAAGCAAGTCACATTACTGTCTTGTTCTTAAGGTGACCAAGCACATAAAATCAGTAAGCATTTCAACAGGCTCACCTGTGTAACAATGATATTGCATTCAGATGCCTTTCCTGCCTGTACGAACTCATCCAAGATGTACTGAGGAACCTGAGTAGTCTTTCCACAGCCAGTGGCTCCACGAATGATGACCACTGGGTTATTGTGAATGGCGTACATGATTTGCTCCTCAAAGTTTTTGACTGGCAGCTGACTTCGCTCCATGAGAATCTGTAAAAAGACCATGCTGTTAGTAATCTGACAATACCAAATGCATATTAATATGATAACTTTAAAACTTTAGTCCCTGTCAACAATTCTTGCTCATGAAAAATGCTCAAACTAAAAAATAAAAATGGGCATGCTGAATATCCCATGAAATATAAAAAGTTTAATATAGATTGAAGTGTTTTGTCTTGATTTTTATTTTATTTTTTTTATTTTATATGCAATAGTGTACAATGGCTTCATTGGTCTGGATGGTCATCAGTATTGTTCATTCATCTGCCCAGAAGAGAAAAACTGCAAATATTAAATGTGCTTATCTTCTAAAAGTGAATTTCATTCATGTTTAGAGTATGCTAGTATGCTAACATACAAATGCGTTTTTTTGTTTAT